AACGTTGCCTTCGCGCGACGTTGCTTCGTATCCTAACAACGCGCGAGAAAAACGCTTGTCCGTTTATCGCGTCCGCCGCGTTTCAGCGAGCTCGGCAGCGCGAATTAATTTGCAAGGAGTGCATGTTCTCGCTCCGGAAGTAACTCGGGATCGCGTTTGCGTTGATTCCGGTATTCCGAAGAATCTGTCGGAGCAGAACACGGAGCCGAATCGCCAGATACAGCCGGAAATAGAGCCAAGGGAGACGTCCGGAAGAAATTCGGCGCGGTAAATTGGTCGAACGTAACGCGACACTCGAACGACCCTAAACTTTTCATTCCGGCCACGATTTACTCGACTCCGCGGCATGGAATTCCCCGGTATCGGGGGGCGGTTTCACCCGAGTTCCAGCTTATCTTCCGCGTCTCTAAGCGTCTCGGCGGAGGAGGAAACTAAAACTGGAAAAGGAGCGTTGCCGGTGGAGTACTTTCCAAGCGCCGGCCAATGCATGCTGATAAACCAGCCGGACCAATTTAAATCCCAAGATGGCGAACTCTGCGGGCTCCCGCACCCTCCGCGTTCCCCGCGCGCGATCCGCCCCGGCCCGCCCCGTCCCGCGGCGGTTCCCCGGCTCTTTTTCTTCGCTCGGTTTCACGAGGATCTATCGCCGCGCCGGCGATTTATTAACCCATTTCACCGGCAGACGTCCCCGCTTTTCCGAATTTCCGCCAGAAAATCGATTCCGCCGCGTCCCGCCGATCCTCCTCCTGCTCCTTTTTCATCGTCGCTCCGCGGAACCAACTCGCTCCCGTCGCCGCCATTTTAATTTTCCCCCGCGGCGAAGCGGCCCGTAAGCCTCTTACGTCCGAGAATTTTTCGATCGGCAGATTACTGGCCGACGCGAATGCTTAAATTCCCGATCGAATCGTCGACCGATCGCGCGCGGCTCCGGCGACCTTTCGGGACTTTTTGCGCCGGCCGGCGCGGAAGTTCGCCGTTGATTGTTTCGCGGCGGATTTATCACCTGTTTTTATTTGCCCCGGCTCGCTTCGGAGGGGGCAGAAATTTTATTTCGCACGACTCTCTGCTCGAGAAAATTGATTTCGTTTCCGCCAAGATGGCGCCGGGTCGCGCGGCCACCGGTGCCGGGAAAAGTAATCCGCGAGCCCGAAATTAGTTCGAGCCCCGCGATTTTCGATTCCATTCCCAAAGTTTCCTTTGTTCGGACGAAGGCCGCGAAACGAGATCAAACTCCCCGGGAAATATTAACGTTCCGCGTGGATTCCGCTTCTCCGATAGGGCGACCGGCTCCGCGAAACTTACCCGCGCTTTCCACCCACCCTGTTTACTTCCGTGAAATTTCGCCCGCTCCTTATTGCTGTAAATACGTCGAACGTCTATTTACCAGAAAAGATAATATTCTCGATGGAACCTGCTCGAATCGCGGTCTATTTATTCGGAAACTATAGCGCGCGTGTCGGAAATTTCGAAACGCGCGACGTCGCCGTGCCGGTCGAAATGACCGGAGTCATATTTTTCGTCGGCGAGTTGAAATCGTAAATACAGTAATGTCTCCCTAATCGACGCTCGAATTGTCCACGAAAATGGACAATTCGGGAAGAGGGGCTACGATTATTCGAGTCTCGCGATTCATTTTTATAGCTACGAAGCGTCGACAAATATAAAAAACGAGCTAGAAGGCTCATATATATAATATTGTTACTGCGACTTGTCGAAATCAAGTCGCTGTAATGTGAAACTGCCCTGTTGCGAACAACTCCTTAAAGAATAATAGAAGATAGGGGTTGCCACGGAGGAGTGTTACCAACGGACAATCGAAGAGTCGAGATCGGACCGTCGAACGATCAACATCCCACTTCTGAAAAATCTAAGATATAATTATATCGAGTTGTGTTATAGTTAATATCCTTTATTGTAAATAAAATGCCGCGACGCGAGAGAAATCGTGTAATTCGCAACAATATATATAATAATCGTATCTTCTGTTCCCAAATTGTCCATTTTTGTGGACAATCCGAGCGCCAATTAGGGAGACATTACTGTACCGTTTCCAAAGGAACGCGCCGAAAGAATTCCCCGATTCTAGCTTTCAGATTCCAACGAAAATGCCGACGAGTTTAAACGAATTCGGGCTCGGCGACGAAATTTCTCTTTCGTGCGGAGCCTAATAATCGGAAATTGTGCCGCGGAGAGACGACAACGGTCGAAGAATCTGAGGATGCTCCGAAAAATGTGCTCCTTCCTGCAGCATTCGTACAAACGAGAATAGAACAATCGATATCGACGGAACGGTAATGCATAGAGCAATCGATATATCCCGGTGATCCGACGAGCCAACAAACCTGAATAAAACATGTCGTCGATTTCTTCTTGTGCCGCGGGATTCGACAAAATATTCTCAATTCTCGCATCGCGACGCGCCGTCGGAAAAAGTCCCCGCTGCCTCCCCCCTGGGGCTGTCCAAAGGAACGAGATTTCTGCGGGAGCGCATAGTCGAGCTCATTGTGCCCGCACGGAGGATTCTTTTAATTCCGAATCTTTTATTCGGTCGAGGAATAATTCGCCGCGGGTTGTTCCCGGCGATCTTTCCCCGTATTTTTCTTTCCCTGTGACGCGATTCGTGCTCGCCGGCGATCCCGTTAATCCTGATTCTGTCTCGATAGCGAGCTCCCGTCGAGGACAGAGACCCTAAGTCGACATTATGAACCGAGGAGCCCCGGGATTACGGTTCTTTTCGCGAGTTCTTCGGATCGGTCGGTTATCGAAAGGAGCAAGCCGGTGTTTCGCCGTATTATATAATAGGATTACCCTCCGCTAGAAGCTGAATTTCGAGAGAAGAGAGAGCGAGAAAGAGAGAGAGAGAGAGAAGCTCGCCGGGGCAGCGTATCCAGCGTCCATTGTTAACAATCTCCTCCTCGAAGCGCTGCTCCTTCCTTTTTCCAGGAGCACCCGCTCGGATTGTCCATCGCGATATTGTTCTCGCGATGGTTAGCTTCCCGACGTTTCATTAAATGCCGCTTTCGCGTTCCCTCCGCGCCACGCCGTCTCCTTTCTACGCTTCGCGCCGTTTATTTCCCTCGCGAGCTCGCCGCGGACCAAGGATATCCGCGCCGGGCTCAGATTCCGAAGCATCTTGAGAGACCGAAGTTTAAACGCTATCGCGCAGTTGGAAACGACGACGGCGGACCGCCGCTTTCTATCCGGCTGCCGGGGGGGGGGGGGGGCTCGAGATNGGGGGGGGGGGGGGGGGGGGGGGGGGCTCGAGATTAATAAAACCGGGCCGAACTTGGGAAAACTTTATATTTCAAAGGTGTCAACAAAAGATACAACTGAGACTGACTAACGGGAAAACAGCTCGCGATTAACCTGTCCTTGTCACCCGTCGGAGAACGAGGGGAAATGCTACGAAACTTTACGCGAATCTACGGGCCGAAATCTCTGCTACCAGGACCGACCTTCCGTCGACTCTTATGCAAACGGTTCGAGCACGATCGTGCTGTCTCGAGGTCCTATAAAAATCAACAAGACCGAACAACAATTCAGCAGCATCTTCGACCGCGATTCTTTATGCGACGCCACGATTTTCTGCACGAACCGCGAGATACCGAAATAAACAAATTAACACTATGCCGTCCGGTGGCACCACGCTGGTGCCATGCAAAAACTATCTGTTGCATGCCGATAGCACCACTTTGGTGCCATTTTAAAAAACTGAAATAACGTTTGAACTATATTTCTTGGGTGTTAAAAGGCAGCAAACTAACTATAGCATTGCGCTTATTTAACTAAGAATTAAGTACGAAAATTCTTGGATGACACATCTTAATTTTAGGAATTTATATTACCGCCATTTTCGAAATTTTTGTTTAAAATCTAAAATTTCCAAGCTATTATGCCGGCGTCGAACAAAAGAATCGTATCTAAGATCCGCGGACGCCATAGTGTTAACGTACATTCTTTTAACCCGTCCCGTTCGATGTATTCCACCGATGATTTTTGCCATAGATGCATAAAATCCGCAGCTTGTTTGCCATATTTAATAAAATACTTTATTCAGAGACTAATCTGGAGCGCACCTTAACATATATAAATAAATTTCTCCTGGACTCCGATAAAAATCTATGCTTCTAAAGTAAACGTCTATCTACAAACTCGATAACAATTAAAAATACTCAACCAACCATAAAGATTACGATAGAATAAAAATGGAGAAGGTAGACAAGATCCAACTATACAGTAATGTCTCCCTAACTGACGCTCGGATCGCGCACAAAAATTGACAATTTGGGAAGAAAAAATACGATTATTAGAGCCTTCTAGCTCCTTTTCCAAAACTGTCCAGTTTCGTGGACAATCTGAGCGTCAGTTAGGGAGACATTACCGTAGTTCGGACACCAGAGATTCCGTTCTAAGTTCTCTCAACGAAAAAAGCGACTGTATACAGGGTGTTCCAGGTTTTAATGTTCAAACTTTGTCAGTATATTCTATGGCACAAAGTAAGAAAAAAATCCTGAATTTTTGTTATAACTTCTTAATAAAGCTCTATATGATCTATGTTTACATAACATTTTTTTCTTACTTCGTGCCATAGAATACACTAATAAAGTTTGAACATTAAAACCTGGGACACCCTGTATAGTAATGTCCCCCCCTTGCTGACGTTCAGATTGTTCACTAAATTGGATAATTTGGGAAGAGGAGACACGATTATTCGAGCCTTGCGCAGCTCGTTTTCGTAATTGTGGACAATTTATAACTATTTATAACTTTATAAATATTTATAAATTATTATATATTATAATATTTATAAAGATTTATAAATATTTATAAATTATTATATATTATAATATTTATAACTTTATAAATAACTTTAATTTATAACTTTATAAACCGCAAGGCTCGAACAATCGTATCTGCTCTTCCCAAACTGTCCAGTTTTGCGCGCAATCTGGGCGTCACTTAGAGAGACATCACTGTAACGCGAATGCTAATATCGGATAGTTTAGGGCTGAGCGGTGGCCGGTTGTATATCAGTCGCCGCGACCTCCGGTTGTAGATCAGTCGGCGGGACGTCCGATTGCTTTTGGTTAATCTTGAGGATGTCCTCGATGCCCGGGGTGACGGCGACCGCCTCGCTCTCCTCCGGGAACACGTACTCCTCGTGGGTCTGCGAGGCGTCGTAGAAATGGCCGGCGGCCTTGAAATGCTCGTGCCCGTGGTGCTCGTAGGCCGAGTGTCGATGGCTCTCGTGATGCTTGTGATGGCTGTCGTGGTGGTGTTTGTGATGATGGTCGTTCGAGTGCTTGTGATCCTCCTCGTGGCCGTGGGAGTGCTCGTGCTCGTGGCCCTCGTGGTGTTTGTGATGCTCGTGGTGGTGATGGTCCTCGTGATGGTCGTGATGGTGTTTGTGGTCGTGGCCGTGCTTGTGCTCTTCCTTGTGCTCGTGACCGTGTTTGTGCTCCTGGTGATGGTGGTGTTTGTGGTCCTGGTGGTGGGCGTGATGGTGGTCCTCGTGGTGCCCGTGGTGATGCTCCTCCTTGTGGCCGTGCTTGTGACGATGGCCGTGCTTGTGGTGATGGTCCTCGTGATGGTCGTGCTTGTGATCCTCGTGATGTCCGTGGTGGTGTTCCTCGTGATGGCCGTGCTTGTGCTCGTGGCCGTGCTTGTGGTGATGGTCCTGGTGGTGCGAGTGCTTGTGATCGTGGCCGTGTTTGTGATGGTGGTCTTCGTGATGTCCGTGATGATGATCCTCGTGATGTCCGTGCTTGTGCTCGTGACCGTGGTGGTGCTTGTGGTCCTGCTTGTGAGCGTGCTTGTGGTCTTCCTTGTGCTCGTGGCCATGGTGATGATGATGGTTCTCCGTCTCCTTGTGGGAATGGTGGTGGTGATGCTCGTTGACGTGATGGTGCTCGTGGTGGTGGTGATGCTCGTTGTGATGGTGATGCTTGTGGTGATGGTGATGCTCGGCGTGGTGCTTGTGCTCCTCGTGGTGCTCGTGCTTCGAGTGATGCTGGTGTCCGTGGTGATGGTGATGCTCCCCGTGATGCTTGTGATCGTGCTTGTGGCCGTGTTCGTGCTTGTGGTCGTGGCCGTGGTGATGCTTATGGTCGGAGCGATGCTTGTGGCCGTGATGATGGTCGTGGCCGTGATGGTGATGGTGGTCGTGATGCTGCTTGTGGTCCTCGTGGTGCTTGTGCTCCTCGTGATGCTCGTGGCCGTGATGGTGCTTGTGACCATGCTCGTGCTTGTGGCCATGCTCGTGCTTGTGCTTCGCGTGATGCTCGTGTTGAGCGTGATGTCCGTGATGGTGGGAATGATGATAGCCGTGCCCGTGACCGTGGTAGAAGGTCGGCGCCTCGTATCCGTGGATCCTCTTCTGAGCGGGCAGGATCTGCGGCGCGACGAACGCGATGTGCGCGGCCGCGGTGGACATCCTGGGCTCGATGCCCTGTTTCACGGGCTGCTGGACGTTCAGCGGGACGTCCGGCTTGGCGGCCGCCCCGAACGCCTGCTCGACGCCCAGATGGAGCGGAATCGGCTGGAAGTTGCTCGCAAGCTCGGCCAATTGTCGTTTCCTCGGCTGCCTCTCGATGTTCGGCCGCGGCTCGTCGGCGGCGTTCCTCTGCGGCAACAATCGGGACGGCGGTAATTGTCGCTTGATCCCGATGTAATCGGCCAGCTCCGGGCTTCCGGCCGGCGGCCGCGGTCGATTCCCTTCGGTCGGTGTCAAATCTTGGCCAGCCGCAACTGTCAGTAGCAGCGCGATGGCCGGTAGCCACGCCTGCGGGCAAACGAAAAAAAAGAGAGAGTGGAGAATCGTCCTCGTTATCGGAACTCGTACGTAAGCGTGTTATGCGGCACGCGCGCAGAGCCCACCCATAGCTCGCGCGCGCGCACCTCCGCAGCTGTGCGGTAAGAGTTATCTAAATCGTGTTTACCGGGCTTTATAATTCGATCAACGAGCACAAAAGCGGCGGGGCGCGATACTAATTTTCGAAAATCGCTTAGCCGCAAGCGAATTCATTATGACACGGTGCTCGCGCGCCGGACATTAGCTCGGCTAACCGAAACAATAAAGCAACGTCGGGGCTCGGCGCGCTGCGCGCTCTATTTTGGCCGGCGATGGCCGCGTAAAACGCGCCGCTCGCTCGACCGAGCGCGGCCACCGGAAAACCGGAAAATAATATCCAGTGAATCGGCCGGTTTTAAACTGCGAGCCAATCTGCCGGCTCGACGAGCCCGCTGCTAAACCGAACAGCGGATTTCCCCTGTTACGTTCCGCTGCCTCGGAGCCGCGAAGGGACGCTGAAAAGCAGCGAATCCTTCGTTCTCGCCACGATCGACCAGCGACCGATTTATACCAGCGGGTCGAGCGGATCGATTTTCCTCCGTTCCAGAGATCGACGCCGTTGCAAGAGTCGACCAATCGCAAATTGTAAGACGCGTGATTATTTTGGAAGCTCCGCCGTCGAAGTCCGGTTCGCGAAACCGCGAGAGCTCTCCGAACAGCGATTCGAGCGGACCACCGACCGCCGAGCGAGCCGCGTTGATTTATGCGATTCGCGGCGTATTCGGGGCGAAAAAATTGCCGCGGCCCGCTACCAGGAATTTCGAATTAGCATTTCATTTTAGGTTCGTTCGGTCGACACCCGGGACCGCCGTGGCGCGGCGCGGCGCGCCGGCACGGAAAGCAATCAGAAATTTGATTTCCGGCAGAAACGAATTCAAAACACGAACGATATACGCGCGCTGAAAGAATCATCCGGCCCCGGCCGCGTTTAGAGGGAACAGCGAGCGATCGCCGTCCGCCGCGTCTCGCGAAAGATTCGCCGAGCTGGGACTGGCGCGGTCGAATCGGCTCCCGTAATCTCGATCGTCGGCACTCGGCGAGATCGCTCCGAACAATAAGTCGCATTTAGGACTGCCGCGACACTTCTCGAGCTTGTATCCGTCCTCAACTCGTTAATCTCGTCCGGGAGCTCCGGACTACGGCGCGGCGGACGGAGAGCATCGCGTTGCCGGGGCCTTAGCGTATTCTTCTTGAAATGCAAATGCCCGAGCGCTTATTAACTGGGAATTTAATCAACGACCGCGGTTTGGTCCGGAGATATGCAATTCCTCTCGAAAGGGACGATGAAACGGCGCAAGCTCGCCTCGCAGTCGACCAGATATTCCGTAATGTTGCTGCACGATCGAGAAGTGTTTTCTTTCATTTCTTCCGCGGTCGCGCCGAGCCGCTTCGACCACCATGATTAATGCTCTCGGGTAGCCAGCCTGATAAAGCTTTAAAGGAAGACGCATTGTGTTCTTCGAGATCCCTCGATTCCGATTCTATTGTATCTTTCACGTCGTTCGAACGTCGATAATCTAGATCCTCTTCTTGTTAACAGCTTGTGTACAGATTTATGCGAAAAAGTTCTCGCGTTTGGAACGGATTTAATTCGCTGACGCGCGGAATGGTGTATAAAGGCCGTAGATTTAACTCGGGCAAAACAAATGCGTTATACGAGTCTCAGTCGTCGAATGTAGCCAAGGGGTTAACAATCGTTTGAATCGTTGCCATCCGAATACCGTTTCGTACACTTTAGTTCACACTTTTATCAGCTCGTGTTTTACTTTGGTCGATGTTAACGCATTGCGCGTATCAACAACGACTGTCTAGAACGATTTCTCTCGTGACAAGCGTGACATAATTCACGCTATTGCACACAGTTCGTAGCAATGAAATAACGAAGTTACAGCGAGTCGTGTAATTCATGCCTTGTTATCTCTGTCGCGAGCGCTGCGACTCGTTTTCGAAAACGCGCACTTTTTTATACATAGAAGCAAGTCAACCGATGGTTCTATACTAAAAATTGTATCGGTGGTCTCCGCTGAAGGCGAAACAACTACAGCGATGTCTCCCTAACTGACGCTCAGATTGTGGAGAAAAATGGACAATTTGGGAAGAGGAGATATACGATTATTAGAGCCTTCCACTCGTTTTTTATAGTTGTCGACGCTTCGTGATTATAGAAATGAATCGCGAGACTCGAATAATCGTATCCCCTCTTCCCGAATTGTCCATTTTCGTGGACAATCCGAGCGTCGATTAGGGAGACATTACTGTATTTACGATTTCAACTCGCCGACGAAAAATATGACTCCGGTCATTTCGACCGGCACGGCGACGTCGCGCGTTTCGAAATTTCCAACACGCGCGCTATAGTTTCCGAATAAATAGACCGCGATTCGAGCAGGTTCCATCGAGAATATTATCTTTTCTGGTAAATAGACGTTCGACGTATTTACAGCAATAAGGAGCGGGCGAAATTTCACGGAAGTAAACAGGGTGGGTGGAAAGCGTGGGAAAGTTTCGCGGAGCCGGTCGCCCTATCCGACGCTCGGATTGTGGAGAAAAATGGACAATTTGGGAAGAGGAGATACGATTGATTCGAAGTCTTGCGCCTTGTTTTTATAATTACCGATTCTCAACAACTATAAAAACGCGGCGCAAGACTCGAACGATCGTATCTCTTCTTCCCAAATTGTCCACTTTTATTCCGCAGAATCTGAGCGTCGGTAAGGGAGACATTACTGTATTAAACGTCTATGAATACCGAATTGAACGGGTACTCACCATGGTCGCCATGATTTCGGGAGTGGCCCGCGAACAACTGGATGCCGCTGCCGGTTGACAAGGTACTTTTATAGAGAGCAGTTCGCCGACGTCGCTTTCTTCGGTGCTAAGCACCGGTGTCGTTTACGACGCCGGCCTAATGTTTTAATCGTCGTCGTAACGCGCGGCGGACCGCGACCGGGCCCCGTCGAATTTCATTCATAACCGGTGTTCCGCGTGCCCCGCTTCCGGTCCGCCGCGGGAAAAAAAACCGCGGGCCCGAGCGGAGGGGAAGGGGGTTCGGTCGGATGAGCCGAAACCGGCCGATGGAAGGCGAACCGATCGACGCGTTCGGACCGTGTAATTCTCTCGGCGTTTTACGAGCGGTCGCCGATCGCGCGGAGAGCCCGATAATAACCGTGGCCCGTGATTTCCTGTCTTGGATCCGGGATTTATGGGCCCCGGTGCAATCCGATCGGAACTGCGTCGCCCGTTTCGCCGTTTCCGCCTCTCCCGGAACAGCTGGACAAGCCGCGAGCCGAGCCGGTTACATCGGGCACATCGTCGGACCGAACGAATAAAAGCGGCGCGGACCTCGCCGTTCCCGCGCCGCGCTCAATTAACTCGCGCTCCGACGATCCCGTAGTAATTTCCCTTTCGAGCGCCGCACGCTTGCCGGCGCGGCGATTAGGTTACGCCGGATGAACGGTTCGGCCAGACGCGAATCGATCGATCCGTGTACCTGGTCTCGTTTATGCCTTATTATCTCGTTGCTCCGCTGCTCGACTCTCGCTTCGCTTCCCCCGGGCAAACACCACTGTTTGCGAAAGGAAAATTCGGTTGTTGAACGCGCCGCCTAAGCGGCCCCGATTCGCCTGCAGATTTCTTCCTTGGATCGATTCTCTCTGCTATCGTCGATTTTTTGTCTACGTTTTTTCTCAAACAAATGGCACCTTCCGTCCGCGACGTGGGTGAAAATGAGACGAGATTGTTCCGATCGACGACGGTGTTTCAGAGTTTCTTGCAGGAAGTCGAATCTCCGAATCGACCGCGAATTTCTACCGCGTTAAGAGAAATCGTCCAAGGGGCCGAAGAAACCGCTTACTCTTTCTTTCGCAAGACAGCCCGTCGAAATAGAAGTTTGTCCGAACGGCATTCGATACGATCGTAACAATGCGAAACGTCTTATCGGAACTGTCGCGGATTTTCGATGGGACGCGATGAATTACCGCGACGGCAAAGACCACGCGATATTTCACCGTTATCCCATTAATCTGAATCACGGTAATCGCAAGACGGTACAAAATGTTGAGAGAATCTGAAAAGAATCGTTCCGGACACTTTGGGTTTCGCGTTGCATGAAAATGCGCAGCCGGCAGCCGATATCCGAATGAAACGTGGGATTGGAACTCGGCCGAACAAATTGCCGCGGAACTTTTGACAAGGGTCTTAGACTCGTACCGAGGGAAACATATCGCGGAGAATAAGGGTCCGGCGAGCCGGCAGGGGCTAACAGCTCGTCAAGCAGCTGGATAATCGAGGAGTTGTCGAGCGGTCGGGTTCGCCGGTCGCCGATCGTCGGTCGCCGATCGCCGGTCGCCGAGGAGCTAGTCGATATCCGCGGGAAGGGAGAACCTTTCCGATCGGGGGTAATTCAATTTCATGAAAGGCCTCGGGCCGTGCAAAGGAGCTAACGTTCCGAATGTAAAGCGAACGCCCTCCGAGCGGCGGTGGAACTTTATTGAAAGGAACCGTAAACGACGTTCTCCGGCGCGGAACTTTTTCATTTTCGCGAGGACCACCCCCTCGGCCCGAGGAAACGGAGCCGAGTGTTCGATTCCGATCTGGCCGATCGGCGAGTTGTTTTAAACATTCGAAGGTCCGGCGACATATTGTCCCGCGAATTTGCCCGACGGTGTTCCTGGCACCGCTTTTGTCCGAGAAACGGGCTGGTCGGCAATCGCCGCTTTACGTCATTGTGCCCGTATCAATTGGTTCGGAAAATGGCGAGGCTATTGTAGCGGAAGTTCTTCGCGCGTTTCGACGCTTTTAAATTACGTTCGCTGTCGAGCTTACGTGCGTCGTATTGACCACTATCGATATGGACGCGGTTTAACGTCGAGTCACCGCTATCGATACGGACTCGAATTTACGTCAGCTTACCACCGGCGACGTTAAGACAGTATTTTCGATGTTGATACGTTTTAGTCGAGTCTGTTAAGCTCGAGTCGTAGAAGTCGGCACAAATCAACGATCGCTTCCAACGTTTGCCTGCACCGAAGCGTACGGCGACGAGAGAAGCGGAATCGTAAAATACGCGAAACTAATTTTGTACAATTTCGCGAGTACGTTCCAGATGGTGTATGAAGCTCGCGAAGTCGAGATTTCGGGTAATGAAACAGAAAATTCTGTGTAAACTCGTTCGCGAACGAGGCTCGGCGAACCACTTGCCGCTTTTCAACCGCGAAATCGTGAAACTGCGAAAAATTTCGGAAAATTCTGCGACCCGTGTTCGAGATCATTTTCCATGCCCGCGATGCTCCCATCGATCGCGTTTTTCCCGCTGCCCTCTCGCGGATGATCGCCTTCTGTTTGGACGGGAAAAATTGATAAAAAAAAAGAAGAATTTCCCGCGGACGCGCGGCATGAAATGCCAACTCTGGGACGCGCGCGCGGCCCGGGTTGGACCGACCGGCCAAATGAACAGTGATTTATGAAATCGCCGGCCGAGGATAAAACGGCCTTTCCATCTCCTGCGTCAGGGCTGATAAAGCACGGCCAATGAAGTGACAGAATAATCGTATTGTGTACGTACACGCGGGAACGATAAAACTCCGGCTGTCGCTAACGCGGGCGACACGTGCCGTTTTATTATTACGTAGGCGGAACAGTCCGTCGCAACACTGGCTTAACGAATGTTTGAATCAATCATCGGCGGCCATATTTGTCCGTTGCCTGCGATGAAAGAAAATTAAATTTAAATTTAAATCGCCGGCCTCGGGATACGGCGAGCGCGCGGCGTTCCGGGGACATTTTCGGGGATGACGGCCGATAACGGAAATCGACAAACCGTACGCGCCGTCGGCGAACGACGATTGTAATTTTCCTGGTAGCCAGGATTTTTTACAACGGTATTATTATAATTGTTCGACAGCGTGCAACGCGCGCGGCTGTTTTCGACAGCGCTCGTTTACCCGATTAAAAATTGCCCGAGCTTCGCGGCACGGCCTCGCGCATTTATGTCAGTTCTTTCGTTTGTCTGCGCCGAGTTACCAAGGCGTTCGAACGCTTTCCGACGCGAAATGTAGCGATTTCTCCCGGAAATGCCAAATTTCGGGGTGCTTCGGGTTCCGAATTGCCTTCGAATCGCCTTCGAATCGCCTTCGAATCGTGGCAAAAAGTTAGAAACAAAAAAGCTAAGTCATCAGTTTTTATTCTATCATTACTACGTATTCGTATTAACATAACACCGACATGCCAGCCGCAGCCATTTTTTGCCGACTGCCCCGAGTTTCCATAAAACCGAGCCGCGAGACCCGAAGAATCGCGACTTTCAATTACGACCTGCGAACATTCCCGGGAGAAATCACCGCAACTTCTTCGACGCAGACGCAGCGATTAATTAAAACGTTAACACGGAAAATTCGACGAAAAGTCGATTATAGACCGAAGAACGTAGCCGGATACCGAGCACAAAACACGAAACGTTAATGCCGTCGGATCGTCGGCGCGAGCGTTCGTAATAAATCGTAACTCCGCCGAAGCCCGTTTTAATTAATTTGAATTGGAGATGCAATCAGACGAAATTCCGGCCGTGCCGCAGACCGGACTAAAAAAGATCCGGGCGGTAGGCGTTAACAACTAAGTGCAACCAACACGGCTGGAACGCTCGGTGTCCGTTCAGCGTTCAGGCGGGACTTTAAGGGGACGAGAGATCAAACCAGGCCGCGAGAACGAGGGTGGAGGGGCGCGGGGTCGGTTAACGAGGATCTGGGAAATCGATTCGACGGGTCGTCTCGTCGACAAAGGGCTGTTTCCCCGGGTGTTTGCGTTGTAAACTGTGAATCGCGACGCGCGTCTATCTAGTATCACGAACCAGTTATCCGAGCGAAAACTTCCGCGAAACTTGCGCCGACGCTTTTAGCACCCAAGTCCCGCGATTAGTGGTCGTAATATTTGTTTAATGCGCAGCCAGATAGCGAGGCTCGAGATGAGTCCGAGGTGGCTGGGACACCGGTTCGAGAAATAGGATACCGAGTCGCATAGCGTCGCATCTCGTCTCGTCTCGTCTCGTCGCATCTCGTCTCGTCTCGTCTCGTCTCGTCTCGTCGAGGGCTCTTCCAGTTTTCCCATTCTCTCGCCGGGCCGCCTCGGGCTCGGCTCCGCTCGGCTCGCTTTCGTTTCCGCCTTCGAAGCTCTCCCGCATTAATGGTAAAACCGTCGCGCAATTATTTCCGCGCGATTTTCTTCGTGCAATTCCGCGCGGACAATAAGGGAAACCTCGAATCGATCGGCCCGGCCGGCCAGGTTTAAACAAACCGACCGGATCGACCACGGACATTGCGTAACACGCGGTTCGTCGACCGAATATCTGCCGTTGATCAACCGTTTTTTTCGATTACGCCCTGTCCCTGTTCCGACCCTGTCCGAGAAATATTCCGCGTTCATCCGGCCTCCCGACACAAAAGGACTAGCGAGATTAGTCCATGGGAGCGTTCGCGCATGCTTTCGGGATACTTTTGTTGCGTTGGACGAATTTTATCGGTCCCGTTTAGTAGAACATCTAATTTGATGCTAATCAGAATTATGTTGGCTGTTCTAACTCCAACTTTTAGAAATTTTTTCACTGAATGAACGACGAATATAATATTGCCGTGTCTATTTGTGAAACGACAAAAGGACTACTTTTTAAGGCACAGACAGGAAGCGTCAAGCTGATCGAGCCAATACTTTTCTTCTGAATCGTGTTAACCAACTGCGAAGAATTATTATATTATATTACATAATTGCAATTTTCAATCTTGATGTTTCAAGCTCGATTTGACAGAACGTTTTCATCTGAAAAAATGACAGCTGCTCTTCTCTCACGATGCAAAGAGCACGTTGATAAGAAACGACGTTCTTTACCACGACACTAAATACTAGAGAGGATAGATTAAACAACTAATCTAGAAACTGGATTCGGTATCAGAAGCTTAAACGACGCTCAAAGCGAAGAACGCATCCTGCGATCGTGCTCCGATCATTCGTTACGTACAAGATGAAATCACGTGCTCGCAACATCTGGAACGAGACGCGCGGTTCCAACGTCGTCGATACGTTGCCGTGCCTCCTCGAAGCGTTAAACCAAGATGCCAAAAGTTAAACCCAAGCTAAGTTCGTGTCCGAATGTTTTAACGGCAGCCGGCAGAGGTCCGTTATCCATTAGCCGAGCGTCTGCGGGCACAGTGGAACAACTAACTTCGGTTATGGCATCGTAAGCGCAGCCATCACGGGTTCATATGTAATTCACGAAGTCCTCGAGTAGGGAACCCTGTTGTTCTATCGTTAATGTTAATCCAAGGCATACTTTCTATTTAATGAAGAACTCCATCCCGCGGCGGAACCATCCATCCAGGAATTAATAACCCAGCATGTAGACGCAGTCCCGAAGGAAGAATTTCCTTGGGAAAAGGGAGAGCCTGCCGTGATCTCGCGCGCACGGCACGCGGTATAATAACCGCGTTAGGTTCTAAAATGCACGCGGAGAGGAGAAAAAGAGAGAGAGAGAGAGAGAGAGAGAGGCGCGGTACGCGCAGACATAAATTCCTGGAGGCGCGTAAACTCGCGATAAAAGACGGCAAAGACTCGATACGGGGGATGGTGTGTCTCTGTAATCTTATGGGAAAGGGGACAAAGCTGCGCTTACGGATACGTGGAAAAATTCTACTCGTCGGTCTAACTTCCAAATTGTGGAACAACAGAGTTATTTTATTTCGCGGACGAAACGTTCGTTCCGGCAAAATACAGTAATGTCTCCCTAATTGACGCTCAGATTGTACACAAAACCGGACAATTTGGGAAGAGGAGATACCATTATTTAAGCCTTGCGACTCGTTTTTATAGTTACCAATTGTCAACAATTATCGAAACGAGGTGCAAAGTTCGAATAATCGTGTCTCCTCTTTCCAAATTGTCCACTTTTGTGCGCGATCTGAGCGTCAATTAGGGAGACATTACTGTACGTGTAAAATACATGTCAAATACGTGTAATACAGTACGATACAAATCAAACGATGAATAGGACACACGTGGTGGATCGATTCCATAAAACAAAAATGGATAATAATAACGATCGAGAGCTTCTTGCGCCGCGTATGGATTAATATTTCGCGTGCGCTATGCGCAGATGTCGCAAGAAAGGCTTCCATTCATATTTCACGTTGAGTTATTAGCATTTCCGGATAACGGGATCGACCGATAGACCGAGAAACATAAAAACCCACTAAAAGCGGACCGCCGCACCGTCAGCGTCCGCGGTGCGCGAACGACCATAATTATCATCACACCTGCAGTTGCATTTATTACGCTCCGGTTGATTAATGAGGCCCCTTTTTCTCCGTGGCACGATCGTCGAAGGAACTCTATCCAGCTTCGTTCAGATAAATCGCCGGCGAAAGGGATGACGAATTATCAAGAATTAATTCGGCCGGGCCAGTGATGCGTCACTCTCTCTCTCTCTCTCTCTCTCTCTCTCTCTCTCTGTCCTCTGTCTCTTTGTCTCCCTTGTTCGGTGGCAGTGGGACGAGGTGCGCCAAGGGTGGGAAAAATATGGCGGAGGCACGTTTAATGGGCCGCGCGCCACCTCGCCCCTCGGCCCCCGCGATCCAGATAGCCCCGTGTATACATAACCGGTCGCAATGAAAAAATGGTAATCCATAAGGCAGGCGAAAAAATTTTGTTCTTGCCGACTGTAAGACAGAGACGTATTGCGGCTATATATCAGTTCGGAGCTGGCGGCGCTGCCTCCCATTCCCGGCTACTGTAATGGCAACGATCGTTATATAGTTCATTCGCTCGAATAAGTCATCGAAGCCGGCCAGACCGAAACAAATGCCTCAGGATCGCCGAAATATTTCTCCCTTTGTCCCGGGGACCGGCGATGGACCGTCCTCCTTGAATCGTTCGTTCGTTCGTTGCCGTTATTAACGACGACGTTGCAAGGTAAAAATTGCCGTAGCCTCTTATCTTTCGCGGATCTTTGCGCGGCGGTCCATTTTCGCCGGATTATTTCCCGGAAGTTGGAATAAGCGAAAAGTTTCATTTGCCGACTGCCAGATACCATCTAGACGAAGCAATCTACTTCCGCAACAGGTTAGAAGGACGCAGTAAGTGAACAATGTAAGCCGGCCGATTCGACGATCTCCCATTGTAGTCTCAACGTATAAAGCTCTGCGAGATAACGCAGAAATCATCCGTTTCCCACATTCAAGAACTTTTTGATCCCGAATCCGTTTCGGTTTTTTTTCTTAGATTTATTTTATTATATAATATATTATATTATTTTATTTTTCTTAGATTCGCAGATTTTTGTCTGGGAACAGAGAAGCAGAGAGAAACGCGGTTGCCTTTGACGGTGCAACATCATTTGTTCTTCATCGAGGAGACGAGCGCCCTTAGCCCGAAGAAGCGAAGAGAGTGGCCGAAGCAGTCGAGTCGGGGGAAAGAGGATAAATAGACGGCTTCCAGATACGGCCTCGTAAAACAACCAGCAACCGAAGCGACGTTCGTTCGACCTTCGGTTCGCCCCATTGTCAGTTTCCGTCGCGCCAAGGGACGGGGCGACCCTGATCGTAAAGGGAGTTCGGTATTTATCGAGCGTCGTCCAGCTCGGAGTTTCTTCCGGCGCGAAATAAAGATATTACAAGGGGGGACGCGTTCCCCTCCGCCCAATTTCAGCCGATCCCTTTCTTTTTTTTGCCAGAGCTTCCGAGACGACGCGAAGCCGCGCAGAGATAACGGAGGCAGTGGATATTCTCTATCCACCGAGCTTCTCGCTGATTACGCCGATAAATACGCCACGCCGAGGAGCTTTCATTTGTTAGACTTACTGCCCGGGGGAAAGCTAATAAGACACCTCCTCTAACAACGACAAATACGGTAATTTCTCCCAGAAATGTTCGGAGGTCGGTATTGAAACCGGCAGATCCGGGAATACCGAGTCGCGATTCTTCGAGCCTCGCGGCTCGTTTTTATAGAAATTCGGAGCACTCGGCGAAAAAGCAGCATGTCGGTGTACATTAATATGAATACATAGCGATGCTAATGTTTTCGCTCTTTTAATCATCGTAATAAATTGAGAACGAAGATCGCAGCAGTTCCGAGCCATTTATTTTTGTCGCGAACCGATAAAATCGGCGGTCCACGGATTTCGAGGGAGCAGTGGCCAACGATTCGGCGATTAAATACCGGTTATGTTAAAGAGCAAAATGAACTGGAAAATATGAATTCCGGCGTCGCAGTTTCGGGCCGAATAATACCTTTCGTAAAAACCGGGATTCGAGGGGAAACTGCGGCGAACGCTGGGAACATTGTCGCCGGAAAAGGAGTTTCCTCTGTACGCGCCGGTACATTTGCTTCGATTCCGCAGTTGGGAACTAACAGGTAGCGAAGCGATAGCGGCCGCTGAAATATATATATATCGGCTTTATCGCGGCGTGTTTAATGAGCATGAAATTAAATCTCGGTTGTTGGGGAATTAGGAAATTATTGTGAACTACTTGCTCCTCGCGTGGCAGGCTCGGGCTCTGAAGTTGTTCGAACTCTTACTGCACGAACAACTTGTAAGTCGGAGGATTTACTGCGACAATGAGAAGTTACAGTGTAAATTTGCTTAAGGGAAAATTGGAACCGGTATTACGCTTGTAACGAAAAGCACCGGTGAACGATGGAACGTTTCGGATTCACGGCTATAAATATGCTCGACACGCTCGTATCGGTTAACCCTTTGCCATACCTTGACGAGTCGGACGCGTAATGGAGATTTCCAGGAAGAACCCGTCGAGCGTGAATGTTATTCCGTTCTTCTAAGTCGGAATAAAATTCTGTCCCCTGTCATCGATATTCAAGCATTCGACTAAACGCAGGCACGCGATAAATATAAATTGTCCTTTTTCCTCTTAACCTTTTAGGTACTGGATGGCAGATATGTACTGTACAGAGTATCTGTATATTCTGTCTTTATATTGTTAAGATACAGTTATATTGTTAAGATAAGTCTGTATATTGTAAATCGATGCGAAGACAAAAGAAGTGTGAAACAATGCATACGAAGACGATTATTTGATTCGAACGATGTCCGAGTGAGCTACTAGAGTAAGCCACTATAGTGGCGCGTCGTTCAAAGAGATGACATCCGCGGAAGCCGCTATAGTGGCGCGTTGTTCAGAGAGATCGCATCCGCGGAAGCCACTATAGTGGCGCGTCGTGCCTAAAATGTTAAAAATTGTTACAATCGGAATACTTCGATCGAACGATCGTAATCTCCTCTTCCAAAATTCTCCATTTCTGTGCACAATTCGACCGCGAATTAGGGAGAATTTACTGTAATTCTGGGAAATCTTCGTTGCGAAAAGTCCGGAAGCGAAACGGAACGGGATCGGAACGCGGCGAGTCGGACGAACCGAAAGCGGAAGGTGCAACGAGAGGAAGAGCGTGTCCTGATGAGGCGGAAAGATCCTATAGCCGTGTCGCTGCGTGAAATAAGAGGTCGTCCGGCGCTCCGAGGCGAGGCATTTGCATTCCGAAGGCGGAAGACTCGCTGTTCGACCGCGAACAATTCGTTCGCCGCTCTTTGACGGGTATCGCGATTCCCGCTGCGGCCCCGGAGCGGAGCCGTGGCCGCAGTTATGTAAAGCGGGAACCGCTCTGAAATTTGCCGGGAGTTTCGGAAATTACCCCGGCCCGTGGAATCCGTCGGACCGTCGGATATCGCGCGCGGTGCGTCCGTACGTTTCCGGCGTTCCGAATGCCGCGATACTCGGGTTCTTACGAAGTTGCCAAGTATTTCGGGCCGCGTCCTGCACGCGGCGCGGCTCGCCGGCCCGCCCGAATATCCGGGCCGAGAGGCCGGCCTTCAGGCATCCGGGATATTTTCGAATCGTTCCCGGAGAGGATCCCCGGAAAAATGCGGCCCTCGGTCTCCCTCGGACAGATTTTACTCTTATTTTTTGCCCGTTAACGCCGAGATTACTTTCCCGTGCTCCCCGGGAAACGGGCAATAAAAATCGCACAACCGCGGACATTCTTAGACAAAAATTTGCTCTCAAGTATGTGGCGAGAGACGCTTTGGAAACTGACCCGCTGTTTACCATTCAGGGTTGGCATTTGGCTCGTTCTTTTTAACTTAATGAAATACCTTCGCGGAACGTTTCAGGATCGTCGAATCGCAAAATGCAGGAGAAAGCTATTCTACGTTGCTTCGTAAAAACGGCATGCACATATTTGTTCGGACTTTCAGCGATTCTCGTCGCGATGTACAGTAATGTCTCTCTCTCTAATTGATGCTCGGATTGTCCACAAAAATGAACAATTTAGGAAGATAAGATACGATTATTCGATCCTCGCGGTTCATTTTTACAGTTACGAATCGTCGACGACTATAAAAAACGAGCTGCGAGGCTCGAATAATCGCGTCTTCTATTCCCAAATTGTCCATTTTTGTATACAATCTGTGCGTCGGTCAGGGAGACAATACTGTATGTCCGATGAAAGGAACGCGTGAAATAAATTCCACGTAAAAGTGTCTTCGCGGTTTCAACGATTGTAAACTTAAAAGATTCGGCGAATCCAGCGTTAACTTCTCATAAAAGAAAGATTCGCGCGAGTCTCTCTCATTTTAAAGGACGAAGTTTCTACTTTCGCGCCCTTGAACCGGTTTCTCGTGTAAAACAAGAAAAAAACAGAGAACTTCCGAAACAATGAACACCGCCGGAGGCGACGCGCGCAACCGACGTTCGCGCGAAAGAAAACCATTCCGTTTTAGGGGGGCGGAGGGGGATGGCAAAGTATCAAATATCCGCAAAAAAGCGGTAGGCACGCGTCAGCTCGCAGAGTTTTACGATAGCGGCGCGCCTCGCGCGGTCCCGTTCCATCTATTTTCCCCGGGCCATTTCGCCGCGTTCCATTTCCATTCCCCGAACTTTATTTTAAAACGTTTAACGTGGCCTCTCCCCGGTTTCTGGCCGCCCTCCTCCGGCTTCCCGACGTTGACGGAGTCGAGTAAATCGTCCGCGGGATCCGGCTATAAAGGAGAGAAGCAGTAACCGACGTTTAGTACTATTGTACGAAGCGTGCTTCTCTCTTAAGACCATTAGCCACTCGCCGAAGGAAAGGATCCCCCGGCCCTCGTCCGCCCTCTCTTGCTCGGAAAAACCGCCCCCGCGCCGGAGGGTCGAACCGGAGCGGCGGAAAAAGGGGCGAAGAGGGCCGGAGAGGATCGGAGAGGAGCGGAGAGGGCAGGAGAAGCCGAGGATGCTTCCGACGGAATGCAGGATCCCGGCGCAGGACTCGAATCCTCGCTCGCGAGCTTATTGACAAGGGGCGACAGTCGGTACACGTCCGCAGGGGCACGTGATCGTTACCCCAGGTCCTCTTTTCTTTCCCGTTCCCGGTCGCACAGCGTTCGCCGTCCGTCGTTCGCGCCGTCCAATAGCGCACTGCCAACCGGAAATTGCTAGTAATTCTGCCAACGCCTCCTCTCACGCGTTCTTTGTTCCCCGCGATCTTCTTCGTTCGCGGCGTGCTTTGTCCTCTCTCGGGAGTGGGCTGTCGACGACCTTCGATCGCGAAGAGACGAAGGTCGCGGGGTGCCCTCTTTCGCGGGAATTAATAATCTTAGGTTTCGTAAATAATTCGAGGATATTGAACTAATTCGAAAATCGAGAAGTTTCGAGTCTACAGACTAATTATACGAAATTATATACTTTAGACCTTTATTATGGGGTTCTTTAGACACCTCGAAGAAATCGAAAGGAAAAAGTTGCGCAATTCCGATTGAAATCTGCTCGCGCGAGTCCGCTAAGATCTGACAAAATTCGCTAAAAATTCTAAAAAAATGAAACTCGGATGTCCTTCCACTAATCGTAGAATTTAGCGCCTCGAGCAGAATTCCACCTTCGGATCCAGAATTCCACCGGCACAGGACGCTCCGTCACAGGACTTCCGCCGAGCGACCCACATAGACCGAAATTCCCAAGCGAAGCGTTCAGTGGGTCACCGGATTCCCCATAAAGGCCGGATAAATAATCCACGGGCTTGCCGCGGCGTAACGAAAGAAATGCTGCGGCCTACGATGCGATACCATCGGCGACCCCATAAAATGCGACGAATCCCAACGGCAGGGGACCGTCGTGGAGCCACGTAACCGTGAGCTCCTCGCGCGCTCGCTCCTCTCTTAGGTTTCCCTCGTCGCGTCGTCTTAACTCACACGGGCCCGTGTGGCTAGGCTATCGTTATCCTCCGTGCCGGAACTCCTCGGCTGGTCGTTGATTTACGCGGCTGCCAAAGTTTTATCGGCCCGTCCATCAAACCAGTCGCTGGAATCCCCCCGGGAAACCGGCAGCATCCAACTCGGTTTTCCTTGCGATCGCGCGGGCACGTCGCGGAAACCGTGTCACGGTTAATCCCTCGACGAACTTGCTGCTCGAATAACGCGTCTCCCTTAAACAATTGCGGTTATTGGTCCATCACCGTATCTCGCCGAGTTTACGGCTAGTTTTAGACTGCGATTTCGAATATCGTACGCTTTCGCGCGTTTCATAGATGCGAGAATCAACGTAGAAACGAAGCAAAAAGACGTAGCTTTTGGTCGACGTGGGGCGAACTGTACCTAGTGAAAATGCAAATCTGCCTTCGAGCTAGCGAAACGTGGACGCTGTAATTGCGAGGAAGAGGGAGGGAACAATGAGCCTCGGCTTTCCTTGATTCTGACTGGTTCCATAAATCATGAACAGCGATCGAGTATCGGACTTACAAGATACGAGGCTCGCCGGCCTCGCAAAACGTCCTATATCGCGGTTAACGCGTCGTACATCAGAGCCGCGGGTTAACGAGATCTTTTCTTCCGTGGAACAGCGACTTTAGCGCAAGACTTTGCCTTCGAATCGCCTATAAATCGCCGCGTCGCGCCGGCAAAAGCGTAGAATCGTGAGAGGTGGTTCGAGCAACAGTGTTCCTTGGTCGGATCGCATAAATTCTACTATATTTACAGCCCTGTCCCACGCCCTCTCCCCCCTGTCTCTCTCTCTCTCTCTCTCCCTCTCTCTCTCTGCCATGGTAAAATTGGGAACGAGAATAGATCGCGGGTTCAATTGTTTAGAACTGATACGTTTTTGGAAGGAAGGATGCCGGGAGAGCCGGTAGAATCGGATCGCGCCTAAATCATGCCCGTTCCTCGTTTCCGTCTGTATCCTACGACGGGCTATCAAAAGGACGACCATAAATTCGTTGGTAGATTTGGGCGGAGCCACATTTATCATTAGACTGGCCGTTATAGCAGTAAATTCTAATTCATGCGCACGCCATCCGCCGGAAAACCTCGATTCTTCAAACGGTCTTACCCAGACTTCGTGGCCGAGCTCATTATATCCGTTATTCGTCCGATTTGTAGCATTCAAGTCCTCCCGTCTTCCTTTGCACTTCATTTCGGATAGACTGTAATCTCAAAGCGCAAATTTCAGCGTCTTGTGCTTGCCGATTTAAATCTG